CATCAAATGTGAAAATCTTTGAAAAAATAGATATCAATTATCCTGAATTAATGACAATTGAAAATTGTGATAAAAGCTTTATCAAAGCATTAAAAGTTTTAGAGGATAGAATTTATTTAGTAAATGTGAATTAGAATAATGCAAATTTAATTCAATTAGATATCAATGGAGTCTAATTATCATCCAATATATTAGATATTCCTAATATAGCAGAAATCAAATTTGAAATATCAAAAGAATTGATTGTCTTTTTTTATTAACTGTTAGGCTAGTCATAATGGGGAATGAGAATTTACACTCAGATAATGGTTATAATTTATATTAAAGAAGATGTCTTAATGGAAATCAAAGATCTTTCAATAGCTGTTTCTGAAGTTGCAATTACCTTAAGTTGGAGTGAAGTGAATGAACAGGAAATATTCTATTAAACTATTGATAAAATGGGAACAATTATTAAATCTGGATCAATAAAGAATGATTAATAAAATAGCAAGCCTATGCTAATAGTTTTATTAAATATTTATGTTGGATTTGTCTGGGAAGTTCAAAACATTTAAGAGCTACGAGGATTGCAGCTATCTATAATGAACAACCTAGGAGAATTTTCCAGATAGATGCAAATAATTTGCTCTCCTAATTGTCTTTAATGTGAAAATAACTAATTATGTACAATTTGTGAATTAGGATATAATTTAATACAAATTAAATAAAATGAAAACTTGTGCTCAAAAAAGTGCGATTAAAATTGTATTAATTGTGATAATTTGGGAAGATGCTACTAATGTGTGGAAAATTATTATTTGTCAAATTATTAATGTAAATTTGATGAAATTTAATCTAAATCAATAAGAATTAATTAATACTCATAACAAAGTTAGATTTAATAATAAGGAGCAAAATTTAGTGATGGTTCTATCATAGTTGTCTGGTCAAGTAATTATTAAGATGGTGACAGATGGGGAGTTTATGCCTAATTAATTGATAATGCTGGTGTTAAAATAGGAGACAATATAAAAATTAGTTTGAATTCTCAAGGAGCTTAACATTCTCCTCATGCAGCTGTATTACAAGATGATACAGTTATAATCATATATATTGATGGAGATCCTTTCAATGGCAATGCGATTTTAAAAGCTTAAAAATTTGATAAACTGATGCAAAGAATAGGAGATGAATTTTAAGTTGCTTAAATTTATAATAATTTATACAGCTTAGAACATGAAAATACTTGCAAAGTATTAAATTTAAAAAATGGAGGATTTGTTATTGGATATTTAAATGCAATTTAAAATACTTTTGGAAAATTTATTCATCTAAAATTCTATGACTAATAGGGTAACTTTGTAGTTGAATAATAAATTGAAGCATCATATGATCCTAACTTCTTTGATTATCTAAATATTGCTACTGCTGATAATCTTGCTGTAAGTTATAAAAATGGATATTGGGATATTCATATTAATTTATATTCATTAACTGGATAATTTTTATAAAAAAAATTATTAGATTAATTTTCATAGTAACCATTAGGATATTATTATTCTCTCAGAAGCACACCAAACTATTATGCATTAGTATATCAAAAATATGATAAAGAAATAACCAAAATATTTGTATAATTATATGATCTATAATTAAATAATAAAGGAACTCCTTTAGAGATTTAATCTTCTGATTATTGGATATCATCATTTTAATATAATGATGAAATATTAATTTTAATTCAAAATTAATATAGTTAATAATTGTTTTAGATAAAAAATGAACAAATAGTCTTTTTAAATACCTACAATTTGTAACTTTAAAAATTTAATTATTACTCTAGCTCTATATATATAATAGAATCCTAAAATTATAACTATTTCTTAATTTGGTAAAAAAATGGAGATCTTTATTTTCAACTTAGTTCTTCCTAAGGTGCTCTTTTAGCTTAATAATAAAAAGTTTGTTCAAATGGTTGCTTATAATGTTAAAATGAATTTTAATGTGACATATGCCTTAGTGAAAATTATTATCTATCAAATGATCTCTGCCTACCAATTAATTTAAGTAATTGTAAAAAGACAACTATTCCTTTATATTGTGATGAATGCTAAAAAGGATTTTATAAAAAGTAGGAAGGAATATGCACACAAGTACCATCTAACTATTAAGAACCTTAAAATCTCCTAACTCTTCAAGAATAAGAAAAAATTAAAGATTTAATTCTTTCAAGCAATGGATATATTGTTTCTTTTTCTTTAACAAGTTCAAATGTGTATAAATTCAAGATCTTAGATGGAGAAATGAATATATATAATATAGAATTAAATAATCAAGAATTACTCGACTCAATTAAACTTTAAGTATACTTTGAAGACAATGATACAATATTAGTGTAGTATTTTGAAGAATAGATTACAGTTAAGAGATATAGCTTAAATGGTACTCCTTAAAACCCAAGATCCCTTTTAATACAAAAATATGAAAACTATTAACTCAAATCAAAAAATTTAATTTTAGAACCTTTATCTAATTATCAGTATTCGCTTACATTTTATACTATTACTGAAAATGATCTCAAAAATAATTTAATTTCATTTTATAATGTAATACTTGATTCTTCATTTAATGAAATAGGAAATATACAAAATATTTTCTTCTCATTCGATTTTTATTTTGTTTAATAAACAACAAAATCTTAATTTTAAGTTCACCTTTCAAATGGTAGAATTTACAATATAATTAGAAATAAAATTACAGGATTCTTTATATTTTAGGATACGTTGCGCCCTACTCTCATCCATATAGCTTAAATTAAAAGTGGAAATAAAGTTGAAATCGTTGAGGTTAAATCATTATTATCTGAAACAGAAACTTCAATTTCTGTTGGTTATAAAATATAAGATATAAAAATTGATTTCCTGATTTCAGCCAAAAAAGTTTTGAATTAAGGGTTCAGTAAATAAAGATTCATAAAATTATTGACATATACTAATTCATTTGCAATATTTGTAGAACAATAAAATTTCAATATTAATTCAAATTAAAGACAATTGGTAGTTCAATACATATATAATACTGGTAAAAACATCGGTGATTACATATATATTTGTTCTTATGAAGAAAATGCTTTCATGGAAATAATCTAATTCTAAAATGGATTCAAAATATATTGGTAGAAATAAGAATGTGATGATTAGGGATGTTCTAATAATTTAGTTTGGAATACATATGATAGAGATAATGATTTACCAGATCCATCTGAGCCTCAAATAATCATTAATGATCCAATTAAAGATGGAAAAGGCATTGAAGTTGCAGAAAAATGTACTCAAGAGATGATGAAAAAACTTATTAAATTCTCTAACAACGACTATGCTATTTTATATATTTGTTAGAATATTATGAGAATGAGGAAATTCGATAAAGAAGGTTTATAACTAAACTTTATTGAAGTTACTCTTGAATTGATTCATTTATTTGATACAACTGTAATAAATAATGAAATCTATGTAAGTATGGTTGATACTTTAGATAAGAGAATATGTAAAATATATAAATTAGATTAATTCACAAACACTTTGATATTTTAACAGGATTATATTCATGATTCATAAATTTTTGATATTAAAATGGAGGGATTGCAAATTTATTATGTTCTTTTAATATCAAGTTTCAAAAACTATATTTTTGATAATGCATCCTTAATTGGACGTTCTTAATCATTATTTATATATGATGCATCAAATGTGAAAATCTTTGAAAAAATAGATATCAATTATCCTGAATTAATGACAATTGAAAATTGTGATAAAAGCTTTATCAAAGCATTAAAAGTTTTAGAGGATAGAATTTATTTAGTAAATGTTAATCAGAATAATGCAAATCTAATTCAATTAGATATCAATGGAGTCTAATTATCATCCAATATATTAGATATTCCAAATATAGCAGAAATCAAATTTGAAATATCAAAAGAATTTATTGTCTTCATTTATTAAATATATGGTTTTAAGGAGTGGGGTTTGAGGCTCTGTCTTTAACCATTCCAATGTATCTACTTTGATTATTAATACTTATATGGAGTTGAAGATGCTACAATAGCTATATATTAGTCTACATTTATTTTATCTTGTGTTAATAAAATATAAAATTCGCTCACTTATTATTTATTTAATCAATATGGATTCAAAATAATGAAAGGAATTATTTAAATTCGATCATCAATTTCTAGACCAATTTTATTTACCTTATCTAATTACTATGTAGGATTGTCATGGGCTGTTAAAGATAATTCTTCATAATGGCGATTATAATTAACTATAATTAACGATTAGGGATAATTTACTGAGTCTTTAACTAAGATTTGCTCCTCTAATTGCTTAGAATGCACAAGTAATTCAGAATGTACAAAATGCGAAATTGGATTTTAGTTGTATTATGATGGATTTTTAAGTGGAATGTACTGCAAATAAGGATCAAGTTCAGCTTGTTTATCTTATGATGGTGATTTATGTAGTGAATGTCTTTCTTATTATATACCTTCAGGCTCTCAGTGTATATTGGATGAATTCTAGTAATACTCGCTAATTGTCAATGAATTTACTTATTTTAGTCAAACTAGACATTTTTCTGCTGGATTTAGTGATGGTTGCATGTTAGTAATTTGGAATAGCAATTACTAAGATGGAAGTGGTTGGGGTGTTTATGGATAAATTGTAGATGGACAGAGATAGAAAATAGGTTAAAACTTTAGAATAAGTTAAAATATTGAAGGAAACCAACATTCTCCATATGCTACAATATTAGAAGATGATACTGCTATTATTTTATTCATTGATGGGGATCCCGTATAAGGAGCCTCACTTAAAATTGCCAGATTTACTAAAGAATAATAAAGAATAGGAAATGAATTAGAAATCGATACACTTCTATTTCGCAATTATAATTTAAATTATAATTGCATAGCTAAGATAATAAGTTTAAAAAATGGTGGATATTTGATAGCATATTTGACAAACACTGATAGCTAATTCTTAAATTTGATGAAATTAAAATTTTATAACTAAGCTGGTGCTTTAGTAAATTTATAATAAATTACAGGCTCATTTACATAAATTATATAAATCGCAAGCACTGAATTAAATATTGGAGCAATATATATAGATAAATATAATATAAGATAGGCCATTACTTATACTTTCGAGGGAGATATAATTTTAAACCAAGAATTTACATTAATTAACAATCTGCCTCTTTATTAGGAGTTTTACTTAGGAAATACCGCTTAATATTTTGTAGTAGCATTTGTAGTGAATGAAGAAAATATCCTTTCAACAAAATTATAATTTTTTGATTCAAATTTCTTCGTTTATGGAAATTAGATCTAAATATAAGAAAATCTGCAAATAAATCCTAAATTTTTCATTAATGTTCCATATATTTAGTTTGATAAGTATAAGTATGGCATTTCTATGATAATTGAGTATATCGTAAATGGCAGAATTTCTGTGTAAGAGCAATATTATGTTAATACTAATTGGGAACTCAATTTAATCAACACTTATCACATTTAAAAAAATTGGTTTATGTTAAACTATTAAAATGTTAGAATAGTAGAATCACTTGATCATTCATTTTTCGTAGTATGGACAAAATTTGAACACTATAACAATGTTGATTCATCAAATATTCATATATAAAAAATGAGCGCATAAGGATAATATGTAACATAAAGCACAGTTTTTTGTCATTAAAATTGCTTAACTTGTATCAATGATTAGTAATGTACATAATGCATTGAAAATTATGAATTAGTAGACGGAAAATGTTAAGTTATTTGTGAATCTAATTGCCAATCCTGCATAATTCCTCAAATTTGTGATTTATGCATGTAAGGATATTATCAGCAAATAGAAGGAAAATGCACTTAAATATTTCCAGGTTACCATTAGCCTTAACCATTAGTTAATGAAAATTTTTAAGGAGAAATCTCTAATCTTATAACATTTAATGATGGTACTGTTAGTTTTATCACCTATTATTATTCAAGATCGGATAACCTTTATTATTGGGATTTTTATTTAATAAAAGAATAATAAGTATTAATGAAAAAAAAAATATAAATGCTTGCAACTAAATAAATTAGGATGCCGACTTATATTTACAGAATTGAATAAGATTATGTAGTAATTTACTATGAACTTTAAAGAATAGAAGTTGTAAGAATAAAAGAAGATTAATCAATAGTCCTTAATAAAGTAATTGATTAGAATGAGTTCATTTTGGATGTACCTTCCTATGAGAAATAATTTCTCTTAGAGCCCTTGATAAATAATCAATATTCTCTTACCTATTATATAAACAATTATTAGGAAAATCCTAGAGTATCAGTATATAATATTATTTTGGATTCTGAATTGAATTAAATCGGAGAAGTTAGGCTAGTGCTCTCATCAAATGAATTCGAAGGAAGAGGAAGAGAGGGAAATTATCTAACATTTAGTAGTTAAAATGGTATAGCTCAATTCAAAGAAGAGTAAATGCTCTAAAACTAATGTTTATATTCTTCCTTATTATTGACTTATTCATGTAAGATGTATTTGTTAAATAATGGTAATTATGTTTAAATTTATGTAACCTTAAATAGAGATAGAATATCTTATACAGATAGTTAATGGAATACTGAAGGTTAATCAGTCTATTATAGACTATTAAATGGTTAATTTATTCCTATAACAGAAGAAATGAAAACAATTTAAAATGGATTCCTCCGATAAGATTTTTTAGAATGTTTATCATTTTCTGATACTTTTGCAATAATAATTAAATAATTTAACTATTACACTTCTATGAATTAACTTGTGATTTAATACTTTGAAAATTCTGGAGCAAAATTAGGCAATCCAGTATATGTAGGGTTCTTTAATAATGATAGGTTGTATTTAAAGGTCATTTAAATTGAAACTAAAGTTAGAATAATTTGGTAGGAATAAGTTTGTTAAAATAATGAATGTTAAAACAATTTATTATATAAAGAATATGATGATTAAGGAAATGAAATGACAAGTGCTCAAAATATAAATTGTATTTCAAATTGTGATGAATGCATAAATTAAAATTATTGTACTAAATGTAGTTCAAATTATTTACTGGATTCTAATTAATAGTGTTATTTAGAATGTTCTTAAAATTGTATTAAATGTTCAGTTATCTCATAATGTGAAATTTGTTAAAATGGATATGAATTAGTGAATAATGAATGTTAATAATTGACTTGTCCAAATAATTGTGATTTATGCTCAAAGAATAATGAGGTGATAATTTGTGATAAATGTAAAACTAATTATTATTCAAATCAATAATAATGTTTACCAGAATGTCCATCAACATGTAGAACTTGTGATATACCATTAGTTTGTTCAAGTTGTCTTTAAGGTTTTATTTTAACATAAGATTAAAAATGTTAATTTGAAGATCCTACTATTATTGATCAAGTAAAAAATACAAGTGTTAGTAATCCATTAAGATATACTTTTACAGATGGAAGTTATGTTTTAGTTTGGTATTAAAATGGTGAATAAGCAGGAGTCTATTTCTAATTATATTCAATTGATAATAATAAAATAGGAAATGAAATTTTAGTTTCAGATTTAACTAGAAGAAGATTAGCAGAATCATCAATAAAAAAATAATATTATGCAAATTTAGGAGCAATTAATAATAACTTTTATATTATTTGGGCTGATTCTACTTCTGATTAAACAAATTATCTTATATAAGGTTTTAATTAAAATGGACTTGAAATCGTGGTTCCATAATCAATAGGATAATCAGATAATAATTTATTATCCCGACTTACTTAACCTTGTTAATTATTACCTTTAAAAAATGAAAATATTTTTGCCTATTATATGACTTAAAATACTGAGGATTTATCTAATGTTTCAATAAACTATTAAGTATTTGATCCTAAACTGAATAGTATCAGTTAAATTTAAAAAATTCCAAAAGTAAGTTATTTAACGGCTCCATCAATTGTATAGGATGATTAAGGAACAATATATATAAGTTATAGTAGTGATGGTTATATATTTGTTTAATAGATAACTTAATTTGGAGATCCAATTAATTAACCTAAAGCTATAAGTGATGATGGAACATTAACATTAAAAACAACAATTCTGAAAAATACCATGATTGTATTTTTATGGGAAAATAAAGAGATCTAAACTTTCAAAGCTGTGTTTAATCTTAATTACTAATTAATCTCAAAAGATTTATAAACTAAAAGTGAAGTCAAAGTTATAGGAACTCCATAAGTTTAATAATAAACACCAGATATAAAATCATTTAATGATGGATTCGTAGTAGTTTGGAGAATAACAGACTCTTTATATTAATCAATAGGAATATAATTCTAAATATTTGATGGTTTTGGTAGTTCATTAACTTCTATTACAAATGTTGCCTTATCAGGAAAATCTCCATAAAATCCAAACATTTAAATAATTAATGATGATTAATTTGCAATTACATACATATCAAAAGGTATAGATGTTGATGGATCTATTTTGGGAGATAGTATACAGATTAAGTATTATAACAAATAAGGATAAGAATATTTTATTACAACTTCTTAATTATGTGGTAAAGAATGTAATATATGTCAATCTCCTTTAAATTGTTATAGATGTTCTTATGGTTATTATCTATCCTTAGATAATTAATGTATGATAGATTGTGGACTCTATTGCAATTTATGTGAAGTACCTTTTGTTTGTTAATCTTGTGTGAATGGTTATAAATTAAACTCTAATAATTCTTGTATGTAAGCTGAATGTCCTGATGGATATCAACGAAACTAAAAAACTAAATTATGTGATCCTTAATGCTCTCAAGAATGCATTTGTACAAAACCAAATATTTGTGATTCTTGTATATCTGGATACTATTTGAAAGATAATGAATGTTTGTTGGTTTTAGATCTTTTAAATCAAGACTCTATCAACAATTCATTCTATTTTTATGCATTTATAGCACTTTGCATAATACTCGTTATTAATTGGTTTGCTTGTTCTATATGCTGTTATTACTGTAGATCTACAAATTTCGTTTTTCAAAGTTCTGGACATTATAAAATATAAGATTAATTTAAAGTTTAATCAGGAATCAGAGAAACCGAAAGATATAAACAAATTCTTATGTAATAATAAACAGATAATCAATTTGATGAAATTTAGTAAAAGAGTCAAAATTAAAATATTTATGGTTAAATTTCTTAAAATCAGGAAGAAGAAAATGCTAATGAAATTAAGTTCTATGTTTTAAACCCTGATGATTAAACATATAAGAGTAATAATTAAATAGAAAATTTAGATAAGAATGCTCAGTCTATTTCTTAATTAAGAAGGATTGATGATGATGGCATTCAGTAAAATGATTAAATAGAATAACATTAAAATGAATTATCAGAAGAAATATATTAATAAAGACATAGTAGCAATAACGTGGAAAAAATTGTGTCTCATGATGATTCAATAGAAGAAATATAACATTTATCAGAAAATTATTTAAATAAAGAAGAAGAAGAAGAAAAAAAGAGAAAAAATGATGATGAACTATGTTCAAATCAATAATCAAATAAACATGGTATAGAAAATAATTAAAATTAATAAATAAACAATGAATTAGAAATAAACTTTGATGTATAATAATTCTAGAAAGTAGAAATAGAAGATAAAAGTTCTTTGTATCAAAATGATTTTGATTAAATTGATGATTCAGTAAATGTTTAGAATAAATAAAATGAAGATATATCTTTCAACTTGGACATTGGATTGAATTGGAACTAAGAAGAGAATTGATATATAATATCAATAAATAAAATTATAATAATATATATTTATTTACATTTTTATTTATTTTATAATTTTGTTCCTAATGCTTTTTAAAATAGTTAACAAATAAATTTTATATTTATTATTGTAATTATTGCTAGTTGAAGCAGAAAGTATTATATAAATTCTTCTCTATATTGGTTACTTTTGGCCAAATACTTTACTCAGTCTCATGCTTTAATCTATAATCCCTTAAAAATTCAGATTACAGTTTGACTAACTCCAACAATATTTAAAAATATTATATATCAATTCATATATTATACTTTAAGAAAAGACAAGATGATAAAATAAAATTTAATATTACAAATAATAAATTAGTATATCTCAAACACGCATAATTTCTTAAAACCTTCTGCATTTTAAAAATTTAACAAGGTGGCAAAATAAGAAGGAATAAAAACAAAATTTATAGAAATATTTACATACATTAGAGAAATATAATTTTATATTTTCTTATTATTTATCATTCCATTTGAATTTTATAATTGTAAAGATCACAACTTTATAATTTATTATCTTCAATACTATGCACAACTGTAAATTCACTACTAAAATAAAAAATTGAGTAATCTTATGGTGGTGATGTTAATGTATCTATTCTTGGATAAGCCTTTAATGCTTAGGTTTGATTTTATTAATCGGTTTATAATGATTCTATTTGATTTTAGGGTTGAGGTAGTACAACATTATAAAGCCAAAGAACACTTTATTTATTTTTAGAGTTTCTATACATTATACCTTATACATTTCCAATTTATTTAAGTTTTGAACTGGCTATCCAATCAAAAGTTGGGGAATCAAATTCTAGAAGAATCCAAGTAATAATTTCATATTTTATATTTATGTAAAAAGGATAGCCACCATTGCCTTTTGTAAATGTTATGAATGACTCATTTTAAGTAGTTGAATGAATGGTTGCCTTTAAATTACAGCATTTTAAATAAATCTACCCAAATCTAATAGGGGATAATATATTATTTTCTACAATTGTATCCACCCAATAAGCTCCACTCTAATATTCCACTATAATAAGTTTATAATATTATATGTTATCTAACCAATATGTTTCAAATTCTAAATCCATAATTTATAATTCATTATACATCCAAAAATCAAAATAATCACGATCTAAAACATATTAAGTTGTTTAAATAGTCCAATCTGTTAATGTCATTATTAATTTGAAAAAAGTCAATTTTTCACTTTAAATTGTAAATAAAGTATTTAAAGTTCCCTTAATGTCATTCACAGTTTCATTCAATGGGAAATACACAATATCTCCAAATTATGTAAGATGAGTATTATTAATAATTTTATAAGCTATTAAATATGGTGCTTCTCCATTGCTTTAGCATCCTACAAATATTAATCCTGGACTTTGATTGAATATCCATTCACACAACGAACTGTTTATTTTTGGAATAGGAAGTGAACTTAATACACTAAGTTCGTTATCTATTATCAATAATCTATTATTTGCCAAAATTATATCTGAAGTATTTGATAACCTGAGATGCGATATCAATTTTCCATAATAATCGATATTATATTATCGGTATGAATCACAACCTTTTGAGTGTTCTTGCGCTTTAAATAAAGCAACAATCAAGGAGATCAAATATAAACATTTCATTAATTAAATTTATGAATTTCAAGTAATCATCAAGAAAAAGAATTAAATTAATTGATAATTATTAGATGCAAAGTTAATTTAAATTAGAGCCTTAAAGAGTAAAAAATATGCTCGAAAGCTAAATTTATTTTAATAGATAAATATTATCGAAATTGAAGAAAAATAAAAACATCTCGAATTAGATTAACGGCTTCTAAACTTAAATACAAGTATTCACTTTGATAAAATGGAATTAATCATAAATCTAAATTAATTTAATTAATTTTTCCGATTAACAATCGTTATGATTATTTTTAAAAGAACATATCATTCTTCTTACAAATTTTAAATATTAAAATTGTAGATGAAAATAAATAAAGAACTTATTTTTTATTTTTTTTAGAAAATGTTAAGATATTTTTAAATTGTTATATTAATTCTTTACAAACTTTAAAATTAATAAATTTTAATAAAAAACTCAGATTGGATAAATATTTATATTGTTATATCATATTGGTTCGATTTAATCAAAAGTATTAAGCAAAAATAAATCATGAAATCAGAAAAAGAAATATAAAAATTTGATTGACTTTCTAATTAGGGTTGCATTTTGTGGAACGAAAAATTATTTTTTTTTTTGAAGGCCTTTTAAAACTCAATGACTTCAAATAGTTTATTATGAAAATAAAAGAAAGGATGAAATACTGAATGTATTTTGTATAATCGGTTTGTAATTAATTATTTATTTATGTTTTAAAAAAAAAGAAAAATAATAGAGCTTAATTAAGATTATTGACAAATTTTTTCAATTTCCTAATTTGATACTTTTCTTTAATTTCTTTATTTATATTTTATAACTTACTTATTTTTTTTGCGAAAAATTTAATATTTATAATAATCAGCAGGCTTCATTTACTTCAGATTATGTAAGAAATTTTGGCTAATGAATATCACAGAATCTTTATTAATAACTACATACCCTATTTATAATGGAAATCATATTTATATTAAGTTTTTACTTTATTAATATTTATAATAGCTATCTCTGATATCCGTTCTATTTATTTCACTCTACTTTAATGTAATTATTTGTTTTCAGAAAACAAAAATCTTTATGGTTTAAAATTTTCTATTAGAGTTTCATTTTTTGGTGAAAATCTCCACTTATACAAATTTTTTATGTATTCATTTTAATATTTACATTTTACAAGATTTATACATAAATTAAATTAATTAGTAGATACATAAAAAGACTAAATTGAATAAAATGAAAGTGAATTTTGTAATAGTAAAGAAGAAGAGTTGAAATTGATAGATTTCTAATATATTATTAAAATATATATATAGTACCAGACCAAACAGACAAATTACAAATATAACAAATTTTTTCATGTAATTAGTTTTATTTAGTTAATATAATAACAAAAATCATTTGAATTCATTAATAAATATTTATTCTGCCATTTCGTCACTACTTTAATATAATGCAGCTGCTCTTTCCCAAATCATTTCTTCAAGTATGGTTTCAGTAATCTAATTATTATAAGTAATAAAATTACTAAGTCAAATTATTCAAGATTTTTAGGGTAATATTATTTATCTTAAGTGATATATTATATTCTTTTTTTTCTATCTTCCATAATTTTAATAATAAATCCACTTGACAATTCTATTGATCTCAAACGATCTAAAGGATTGACATAAAACTATTGATCTCTTCCCAATTATTCAACAGGTACATATTAATCAAGTCTTGCTATATATATATTAATGAATATATACTATCTCTCATAAATTGTTATCTAGTTTATTAGAAATTCTATTCAACTTTATCTTAATCCAAAGCAATATCTTTAACAGCCTCTATATAATCACATAAAGCCATTTATTCATATTTCTATCTTTCTTCCTCTTTCTTTTTCATTTCCAAAGTATCTAGAATATCTACCATTTCAAATAATAAATCATCAATAAGTAATTCAGTTAATCTTTCAGAATGTACCTAAATCATTTTAGATACTCCTCTAGCTAACAAATGTCCTGTAAATGGATATTCTATTTATACACTATCTATTTTTTTAATTAATGGATCTACTTTTCCTTTAATTTTATCTAATTTTTCATTTATCTCTTTATAATATTTATTTGGATTCTAAGCTTCAGTTCTCAATAATTATTAATGTTTATCTATTAAGGCATCTAATTCATGTTATCTTTATAATTCTCTTTTTTAAATTTCAATCAATTCATTTTTTAATTTATTATCATCTATTCTTACTTATTATTATTATGGTTATTATTAACATTACTTTTAAGGTACTAAATCTAAATCATTTTTATCATATTCTCCGGGTAATAAAGGCTTTTTAGTTTCATAATGAATTAAATTAATTCCATCTTTCCAAATTGGATAATTATTTTATTAAGGTTCCACATATATATCATCCATATTTTTTTGTAATTACTTATTTTTATCATATTTCTTTTATTCTTTTGTTTTATATGGAGATTCTTTATTTTCCATACCCTTTTTTTTAGCATTCATAATATCTTATGCTAACTCAGGATGTTATTGTGTTTTTAACTGTCTTAATTTTTCTTCAAATTATTTATTTTACTCAGACTTTAATTTCTTTTCTTATTCTATCATCCATTATAACTATTCTAATTCTCTTTTTTATTTCTTCATATCAGAAACATCTTTCTTATATTACTCTAATTAAAATAACAATAATTACAATCATTAATTGCTTATTCTATATCTTTTATTGTTGCATATGATTTAACAGCTGCAGGTGGTGGATTTTCTATTTATCTCTTTTTATTCTCTTTTTCTCTTTCAATTTTTTCTTTCTATAATTTAGTTTCAATTTTGAATATTTCATTCTTTTTCAAATTATCAAATGCCTTTGGTTTAGATTCAACTTTATCATTCCACGAAGGTTTAAATTTCTCTGGTTTTTATGCACTTGATGGTCTAATCTTTTAGACTGAATCTATTTTTTCTTGCTAAACTTTTTTTGAAGCATCTTTGAATCTTACATTAGATTACAATTTATTTTATTTTTAAGGTACCTATCATATTAATAAATGAATATAAATACATTCTCAAACTTAATTGCTTTTGATGGTTATAGTTATGATACTGGTTAAGGAGAACCAAATGCTAACGAGTCTTAATTATAAAATTAGTTATCCATATTTAAAAATTATATAAATATGTTAAATTTATATATACAAAAGAAATCATGACTGTCTAAAAACAAAGCTAGATTGTCTAGTTTAATAAGGAGAGATTGAAGGTAATTATAAATGAATTCTTTTCTAACTACTAACTTTTGGTAATTAAATATCTAATTAAGTTTTATATCTAAGTGGATAATCTAGAATCATATAATTATTAATACTATAACATCTATTAGAATTCACCAATTTATTTTTTGTAGACACCAAATCTTATGAAGATGTCACTTTCGGAACTTTTATAGTTTTTAAACTCTAAGGTTTGTAATAAGTCTTCTAATGTCTTAAATTAATATGTGTATCTGTATAAATTCTTTATGTTTTTGGAACATCATCATCAAAAAAGATCTCATTTATTTCATCAGAATTTTAAGACTTCATATAATACATTTGTTCATGACATTTTTATTTGAATATCTTTGTCATCTATAATGCCTTAACTATCTAATAATATTTAACTCATTTATATACAAGTTGAAATTTTTAAATAAAATTATATCTTTATATAATTTCTTTGTTTGTTATTGGATGAGACTTTCTCTCCACACCCAATAACCATGGATGCTCCAAACATTATTCAGCTGACATTCTATCCATTGGACTATGAGTCAAAGTGTTTTTAAGAAAATCCTAAGCCATTCTTATAAATATTATTAAATCTTAAATACTCTGAAAGTGTAATAGGATAATTTATTCGAAATTCACTAGAAAGAGTTTTGTAATACTCTTTCTTAGTCTATCCATCAATCCAAATTGGATGCTTATTGTTGCATAACATCTGATAAAATATAATACCCAAAGAAAAGATATCCAAAGCCTTATTTTATTTTCAATAAATACTTGCGTTTATTCACAACCATAAATCAATTCAGGTGCAATATAATATGGAGTTCCCACTTATTAACCTATTATACCTCTGCAAACTATCTAATATCCTAATCCTAAGTCAATCAATTTAACATGATTCCCATTTGAGATAAAAATGTTCTCTTATTTTTTATTATATGCAAAAATACCTGGTTTTAGATCTCTATGTATTATTCCTTTACGATGTAGAAAGGCTAAAGCATTTAATACTTGCAGCATAATGTTCCTTACTTAGAATTCATCTAGTGTTTGCTCTTTCAAAATCACATCTAGTGTTGTTCCAGTCAGTTTTTCCATTATTAGATAGATAAAATTATGAGCAACAAGAACCTTAAATAAGATAAGGAATTATTCTCACCTTGTACAATTTTACAATATTTGGATGAGAACATTCTTATAATAGGGATGACTCATTCTCTTATTCAAAGTATGGAGTAATCTAGTGTTTTATGACTCAATACTTTGATAGCCACAACTTTATCTAACTATTAACTTGAAGCTGCAACAACAATTCCAAAACTTCCTCGACCTAAGACTTCAATATATGTATAGAAATCACTCAGTAAGATATCGTTTAAATTATCAATTAAGAATTAAGGGTCCATTATTTAAAATATATTATTAATAATTGATCACTTTGAATTCGTCAATGAACAGATATAGACTACTCCTTCTCCTCCTCCAAAAGCAAATTTATTACTTTTATTTCCATAATCAACACAATAGACACCTAAAATAAATAAATAATTTAAACCTTCTTATAAATCTTATATGTAACCACATGTTTAATAATTACTATTAACATCAAATAATTTGAGTTCTTATCTTCCACTACTTCCAGCCAATATGGTGTCTCCATTAATTTTACTAAATTAACAAGAATAAACATAGAAATCACTATTATTAATGTTTTTATCCCATTGTATCTCTTAAATGAGTTATCTGGTTCCAAAATCCCATAATTACATTTAATTACTAGTTCTATAAGATCCGGTTAAGATTTAACCATTTCTAATTAGTATAATAATAATATATAACCTAAAATCTAAACTATCGCCAGAAAGATTAGGACCATAGATAGTTCCAATAGATTTATGATCTCTTAAGTCCCAGATAAGTAAATTACCATCCCATCCAGCAGAGAGAAGTATATTTGGGGTTTCTTCTAAATATTTAAGTGCAAATATTCTATTTTGATGACCTGGTTAATTGCTAAAATATTAATTTCATAATTTAACTAATCAGCTTTATCAAATGTGTGTATAACTTCTTTCTTTTCATCATCATAAACACGTATCTAATAATTTTTGTATATATTTAACTTTAAAGTCTTTTCCAGCAGTCGCAAATTAATCACCATCTGATCTTATATCTAATGCCAATAATTAATTTCCTTATTCTACAGTCCTAAATAATTGTTTGCCTGTTTAAGCTTGCCACATCATAAGAGATCCATCAGAATTAGCAGATAAAAACACATTTTTGGCTTTGTTAGCTACATCTCTTCTCCATCTAATTGCAGTTGTAGGACTTGATCCTTCTGATGATCCTTATAAATTAAATGCCAATTTCCCTTATATATTTCTGCTTTCATTTTACCAGATACTATGTTAAAAACCTTTACTGTCCCATCTGAACATCCAGCTGCTATCAATTAATCTTCATAGTCAAATCTTAAACAAAAGATTTCAAATTCAGGATTTCCAAAGAATGTTTTTAATGATATTTTTTTTGATTTACTCTGTACTTCACCAAATCTTATATATAATTATATATATACTTCAATTATCCATAACTATATTATGTTTATTTCTTATTTGTTTTCTTTTTATCTCTTGATGTAGAACGATCCTTTCTTTATTTTGGGTCCATTTTTTTAATAATTTATTTATGAAATTTCAAAATCCCAAAGGCATCTTGTCTGTGATCTTTGTATATATCATCATATTCAGTGAGTATTATGTATTTGTATTTCATTATTTACCTTATAGATATGACAATGTATTACATATATTATAATCATAGAATAGTCAATCCACCATTTTTATTGCTATTGAATTTACATTAATTTACCTAATGATTCATTGGGCATATATTCAAGCACAAATATAATCACCAGGAAATCCATCACCAGATTTAGTATTATATTTATATTTAAATCTATATTAAGGCTAAGAATTATTAAGAACATACTCTATAAGAAATCAAGAGTAGAACTAAAAAACATTCAGAAATCATTTAAAAAAAAAGATAACAAAAATTAATGAAAAAATATGAATTAGCTATTGATGAAGAAGATGAAATATTGTAATCAAATCTAATAACATCTATTATTATAGTGATATCATCTAAGCTATGTAACTTGATTCCTATTGTTTTAAATGCAAAAACATCAAATAACCTAGAACTCATCATTGCAAAGAATGTAATAAATGTATTTTAAGAATGGTATTTATTTTAAATACACCTTAAATAGGATCATCATTGTCCTTGGGTTAATAATTGTATTGGATTAAAAAATCATCGATACTTTTGTTAATTCATCATTTATGCACTATTATGTATGTCATAATGTTTCATATTCATCACAATTGAACTCTTAGGAAACACTTAACTTAAAGGAGATTCTAAATTTCTATGTTAAATGTGTGCTTTAACTTGTTTACTCTTATGTCTCTCTATGGGCACACTACTTGTATTTCATCTTTACCATATTGCCAAAAATGTTACTACTGTTGAATTTCATATTGAAGAAATGAAAACTGATAATCCATTTCTAAAATCAAAAACTATTGACAATTTTAAAGAACTCTTTGGTTCAAATTATATTTATTGGATATTGCCATTAACTGAAAATGAAAGTAATAAATCTAAAAACAAAAACGACTCATTCGAATTATGATTAGTTATCAAAATTAAAACAATTTTTTATTATTCTCATAATTACAATCATGCTACATCTTCACACATTATTTATGTATTGCATGATAACAATCCATATATTTCACTATCTTATTCTCTTATGGCTATTAGCGTTTCTTCTAAACAGAAAATGATATTGGTTTCAAACATTCATAACATTACATTGCATTCCCTATCATTCCTTTCTTTACTCTATATAAATATATTAACATTTTTATTACAATTGCAATTGTTTCTCCTTCTTTATAAACAAATCTTAGATGAATACAGTCTTAGCCTTTTATAAAAATAATATATAATTAGTCACTCTTTTAAATGCAAAATTTGGAATGATAGGCATCTCCAATTATGCCTTTTAATAGAGTTCCCTATTGATTTCACATTATAATATTTCACAATAATAATGATCATTTACAAATTATGGATTCTCTATAAAGAATTTTTGAAAATAAATAAAAATTCTCTTATCCTTATATTTTAAACATTCTTCAATCAATTCCTCCATTATTTACTCATTTTCAATACATTCACATTTCTTAATCTTCTACATTTCCAACAATTTCCTCAATTCCTATTCATTTCCATTCTCAGACATCTTCTAAATGTGTATAAAAAACTCTCTAAATACTCTTATCCTTGCACACATCAATAATAACAATTAAATATAACTATACTTAAGACTAAAACTAATCATATCATCTATATTCTATCTATATCTTAAAGTTTTATTAAGATTAAACAAATATTCCTAAGTGAATTATTATTTAAATTGTTGAACTTGATACTACTTTTATTATTATTACTAAATTTATTATTTCATTTATTATTATTCATCATTACTGATATCATCTAATTTAAAATATTATTCTAAAATTTATTTGTAATCCGGTTAAAATACTATATACCCGGAACCTTGTTCATCAATTATTAATAATGTATTAAGATTAACAATATTCAATTAACATACTTTTTTATGAAAATCCAATTTTAAAACAATCTTGCCTTCAAAATTTGATACACACAATTGATGTTGATCATTATAAAAATAAACATACAAATTATTATCATAGAGAGTAATACCATCAATAGAATTCTCATATTGTGTATATGATATTTCGTTGAATTATATAAGTATTCTATTTTATAGGATGTAATGTTAATTTTAGATACTTAATAACTAAGGAATTGAATTCATTTAAATCGGTAAGTTTATTTATTAGATTTCCATTTATTTATTGATTTAGTATAGTGTATTCTTGCTTAATAATAGATATTATGAATCATTTATTCTATATATATCTATAGGGTTTTATATTTCACTGCAGATATCCATGGTCAAGTTCATTAATCCTAAGACAAAATGGATTGTTTCTACCTTGATTTAGTAAGCATACTTATTCATTTTTAATCATAATTCCACTGTATATCAACTACTCAGAATCTATGATTTAAAATATTTTGATTTTGGATAAACTTTCTTTTGATTCTCTCTCAAATACTTTAAGTTTCTATTCATTTGTATTGTATATTAAGAACAATATATTATAATCTACTCTAACTAATTGAATTACTTTGCAACGATTATAGAAAGTAAAGAATGTGAGTTTCTTAAATAATACAATCCAAAAATTAGATCTCAGAATTAAAATCAATAATTTCTTATAATTGAGCTGGTAGGCTTAATAAATTCAATTTATTGTTTTGTAAAAGCAAAAATTGCTGATTATTAATAGGTTGAATATTAAGGATATTATCTAATAAATGAATGTAGCTGAATTTGCTTTGATTTTTAGTAATAAACGATAAAACCTATTTATTCATATATATTTAATAAATTAATGGCATAAAAGAGATAACTGAAATAACCAGACCCTGGACAAGTGGTTAATAAAGACATAGTATTTAGTGAAAACATTAGAAATGAAATGAAATTCTTTGATAAGAATAGAACAGAACATTTTCAATTGAACCCTAATAGAGGTATTTATTAATGCATATTCTTAAAGTTGTAATTTTGGCTGAGAAACCTAATCACATAAGTATATATAATAATGAAATTGTAAGAACCTCAATCACATTAATCTTAAAGAAAAGAGAAGGATAATGATATCTTTGGAAATCCATATACAGATGATCCTGTTGAGGAAGCATTCTCAAACTAGAAATTAGAGAAGACTTTAGAATTGAGAAATTAAATTCCAAGATAAAAATACAATTTCCCTATGACCTAGAATTAAGAAATTGGTTGGTTTGCCAACTAATTAGTACATTTGATTATATTTTAGAATGTCTATAAACCAACAAAGAATTTTGCAAATCAATAATGTGAAATAACTAAATTCGTTGATAATTATTTTGAAATGACTCATGAAAACCCATTTAAAAAGAAGAGATCTTGATAAAATATCAATTTATCACAATATCTATAATCACTTATGTCTACTGATATAATCTCTATATTTTTTCAAAGCTATTCTCACATCTTTAGTTTTAGCCTTTGCAATTTTAATAATTAAATCTTTCAATTAAAACAATTCTTTATCTTCTTCTTAATCAATCCATGTTGAAACTAAAAGACCATTATCTTATTATAATTCATAATTAGTTGGAGTATTATCAACAATTATAGTTCTCTCTAATGGTCTTCCTACTTTACTTATATCCTTAATTAAATTAATATAATCATTACTTTAATAAAATTATTTCCATTAAATGTTGTGTGATGTCTGTACAATCTATGATCTATATATTCATCGCATTATAATTCTCCTATTGCTTAATCTGCATACTTTGTATATATTATATTTATACACTCTACAAACCTGCTGTAAATACTATTATTTCGCAATCTTCTTTTATTCCTTAAAGTAACTCTACTAGTCCTGGTCTACCAATGAATTTTCCTGTCTTATCATTCTAAAAGTTAATATTACATTTTCATACATAATGACCCATTGTTTCATCCAAATCCAATATTATACATAAAGAGTGCTCAAAAGGTTTTTAAATAAATGGAGCTTAAACTGACTCCAAATTATTATATGATTATCTTAAATGCATCACATATTATTATTAATGAGGAATCTTGAATAAACTTTTTAAAGGAGATTAATATTCTATCTATTAACCTACACTTGTTGATAAATATATTGCATTAACTAATTGTGGTCTACTATTCTATATATCTAATGTTTTTATTTAACTTAATTAATATCTACATGTAATAATTACAGGTTAAATATTAGGATTATCATTTTTTAGTATTTTTTCTATTATGTTTTTTATGAAACTATTATTCTTTTTTAATTCCTAAATAAAACTAATACAAGGATTATTTTTACACAGAATTTAATCAATTTTATTTTGAATTTGTATAACTAAAGCATTCTATTATTTAGTTTGAGTTAAAATCTTCTTTAAAAAATAACAAAAATTTTCTAATATAAGTTTTGTTATAACTATCATTTCTTATTGATATTCTTAAGAATTGTTATTTAGTAAATTTTCTTTCATTTGACATTAAATGAATGAAATTACAATATCACTCAAAAATATAGATTCTTAAATTATCTTCTATGTTAAAGGTCTAACAAAACAATATATATATTGTTCCCATTTAAACATATAAACGGATTCCCAATATAATTAAAAATTTGGGATGTCCTCTTTATTTTAGAGACAATCCAGAATCTACTTTATATTCTAAAATAAAAGAAGTCCAGAGTTTAAATCGAAATGTTGTGTACTTTGAATGAATGTATCAAATTAACTACCAGGCCTAGAGAAATTACATGTAGAAGTAGCTTTAATGCGTTCTGATTATTTGGAATTACTTCTCTTAGTTCCTTCAGAATCTTATTCAATTGTCCTTAAAGTTCTTTTAGCCTCTATCATAGGAGTTTCAAGTTATTTTCTTTAGTTTTACAATTGTTTTATAATATGGTAATTGCTTCCATACTTTAATGCAAAATATTCTATTTTATATAATCACTTAGATTACTAGCAATTTCATCTGAACTCTTTTCAAAATGTGCGAGTACAGGAAGAGTCTATTTCATATATTTTAACAATATAATTTATATTAATTCATGAGTTCATTAAATTGTTGATTTTTTGTCTAACTAGATAGTATTCCTTATCTAATTCAGCAATTAGTTTATTTGTAACTTTAAATTTTAATGCTCTATATTTAAGAGTTTTCAAAGATGCTATTTCCTATGAATAATAAATATTTATACATCTGTATTTTAAGTAAAGAATTCAGCTTTAGTTAAATTGTTTAGAAATTGTAATAAATTATCAAATTTCATTGTTAAAATCTTTTCTTCATAAGTCTAAAATATTCCCAATAATATTTAATAATATCCACACCATCCTCTACTCAATAATAAATCCCAAATATCAAAGAGAACAGTTGAAAATTCATTCTTCATAAAAGATCCTGTAAATAAAGTAATAAACCAAGGAGCAGAATAATGACCTGCTTCAATCTTTTCTTCTTTTAGATGTAAATGTATTTTTGGCATAAATATTGCTAATAATCGATCTAATTTATAAAAGAATACTCTGATATATTTTAAATCATAAAGTAAAACATCTTTTAACAAATAATTTATTAGACAAGAAAAACATCGAAATGTTAATTCTTCTTCTACCATAATCATGAATATAAATCCCATCACAAAATTCATTCCTTATGTATATGATACTGTATTATTGTAATAAGCATATAACTTAAGTAAATTATGTAAAGTCAGATGATTAATCTTGCTCTGTAATCCTACACTATTGAATGATCTTTACACATCCTATGCTATTTATTATTCCAATTTTGCCTCTTTTGATCCTGCTGATTTTGAATACTTTTCTTTTAATTTATAATAATCAAGTTAAATTGATTATGGTTACAATAAACTTGTCCATAAGAGTTTTCTCTTTGTTGATAATCTTTCACTCAAATTATTTATACATAAATATTATTGTTTCACCTTTGTATTTAAAGTTGAAAACTCTTTACTCACCAAAGTTATATTCAACTAATCTTATATTGACAAATATTTTAAACATTTTTTAAATATATAAAATAATCTCTTCTTATCTAAAATCATTTATTAAGTCTTTGGAGATTGAGGTTATATTTATTCCATATAAATTTTAATTGATTCAAATTATTCTAATAAAAGTACAATATCTTAAACCTTAATATTACACATCTTAGCTAATACTATTATTGTCTCACTTGCATAATCTATTTTAATATCAAGTTTAAGCATCATTGAACAGATTTTTTATAAATTTATTAATACTTTTAAATAATTTAGTTTTTATTCTTATGTCATAGATTCCTTAATTATTCTTTTTTTTTAATATAGAAAATTTAATATTTCATTTTTCTTTGGCTTATTTTTTTTCTTCTCATTTTAATTTTAATTTGTTTTTTTATCCAAATTTTCCTTCTCATTTAAATACAATAGTAATTATTACCAATTATTTTTTATATAAAATAAGGATGTTTTTTCACTTGCTTAGGAACCAACAGTAATAAATTGATTTTTTTCTCTCATTCCAAATTAAGTAATGAAATTTAATAAAGCATTGTATTCTACAATATTAAAAACGTGATCTTTTTACAAGTCTATATACAATAATAAATATGAATAAATTTACTGATAATCAAGTTTCTTGCAATCTATACTAAAAGATCATTAGCATATTAATTTATTGTTATTGTATCTGTAGGTGCTTTTTCTATAATTTCACCAATATTATCAAGTAATTTAATCCTAGTATCTGCATGTTAAAATAAAGTTTCAAAATCATATTGAGCAACATTAATTGTCAACGTATTATCACAAATTTATTATATAATAACAGTCAATTAATTAATTTGTTAAACAATTTGTTAAGATAATTTAAATTTCTATAAATTTGCTGGGTCTAACTTATCATGAGAATCCATATTAGCTTTCCAATCTTCATAAGTAATAAAATTATCCTATTTGGTAACTTTAAATATATTAAATTTTCTGTTCTTCATAATAGTTTTTAAAATTGGTTACTTTTCCATCTAATATTTATTTTATATTAAATGCAATTTATCATTAGATTATTGTAACAATTAAAGTAATTTCATATTCAATGTATTCGTTATTTTAGATATATGTTGTAATAACTTTTCTGAAGTTGCTTCTGTGATTGATGTTCTGCCCAATTCATTTGAATCATATTCATCAAAAGATTTTTTAAATTTATCATTAAATGCATCCCATAATTAATTTACATTTGCCAATTCCTATCGATAATCCACAAATAATTCATCTGCTTTTAATTTTAAACTTTTTGATTTTTTCTTTTTCTCTAAATCATAAGCTGTTTTTAAGTAATCCTATTGTTTAGTAAAAAGTGCCTCTCTTTTTTTTTCAACCTATTTCAAGAATTCCTAACTCTTTATGATTAATCCTTTATTGATTTCATTATAATTTTCTGTGAATTCTTCATATGGTTCTAAAATACTTTATTTCATCTCACTTGTCAATTCATCTAAATTATGTGCAAAATTTATTATAGAATTGGATAACTAATTATAATAAAAGAGATTTAATTCATTTTCTTCCTATGTTTATGCTAACTATAAATAAAATTATTCAGAGTATTCAGTTAATTACATTGATAGAGTACAAAATGATTAATGAATGTTTCCTATAAATCCTTTATAGATACCAACCTTATCAATAATTAGAATATACCAATTTATTACTGTTGCATACTTTACTATTCAAATCATTTAAATAAGAATAACTTTCCTATATAATTTTTTCTTACATTTATTTATATATATATATTAATATTTATTTTCAATTCATATCTTAAATATCAATTTCTACATCAGTTACCTTCCAAATCTATAATAAACATTATCCATCTATAATCTATACTAATCAAAATTTAATTCCAATAATTTCATAAACTTTCAAAATTATTTATCATCAAAAACTGTAATATTTTATTAGCTTATTCTAAATTTTCTTTAAATTATATCTAAGGCTTAGTTCTCATCATTTCTTAATTATTATTTTAATTCAAACTAAGTGGCTCAATCACATTTTATTTGTATTTTATAAGCAAAATCTGAAATAATAATACTTGAAATCTGGAAAATACTAGTTCATTAATTAAATATATTCTATGTCAACTAGAGTATTAAATGTTCCAAAATAAAACTCTTCGAATATTGGATCATAAAAATAAGAAACTGAGTACAAAGCTGTTTCTGTTATACCNAATTTATCATTAGATTATTGTAACAATTAAAGTAATTTCATATTCAATGTATTCGTTATTTTAGATATATGTTGTAATAACTTTTCTGAAGTTGCTTCTGTGATTGATGTTCTGCCCAATTCATTTGAATCATATTCATCAAAAGATTTTTTAAATTTATCATTAAATGCATCCCATAATTAATTTACATTTGCCAATTCCTATCGATAATCCACAAATAATTCATCTGCTTTTAATTTTAAACTTTTTGATTTTTTCTTTTTCTCTAAATCATAAGCTGTTTTTAAGTAATCCTATTGTTTAGTAAAAAGTGCCTCTCTTTTTTTTTCAACCTATTTCAAGAATTCCTAACTCTTTATGATTAATCCTTTATTGATTTCATTATAATTTTCTGTGAATTCTTCATATGGTTCTAAAATACTTTATTTCATCTCACTTGTCAATTCATCTAAATTATGTGCAAAATTTATTATAGAATTGGATAACTAATTATAATAAAAGAGATTTAATTCATTTTCTTCCTATGTTTATGCTAACTATAAATAAAATTATTCAGAGTATTCAGTTAATTACATTGATAGAGTACAAAATGATTAATGAATGTTTCCTATAAATCCTTTATAGATACCAACCTTATCAATAATTAGAATATACCAATTTATTACTGTTGCATACTTTACTATTCAAATCATTTAAATAAGAATAACTTTCCTATATAATTTTTTCTTACATTTATTTATATATATATATTAATATTTATTTTCAATTCATATCTTAAATATCAATTTCTACATCAGTTACCTTCCAAATCTATAATAAACATTATCCATCTATAATCTATACTAATCAAAATTTAATTCCAATAATTTCATAAACTTTCAAAATTATTTATCATCAAAAACTGTAATATTTTATTAGCTTATTCTAAATTTTCTTTAAATTATATCTAAGGCTTAGTTCTCATCATTTCTTAATTATTATTTTAATTCAAACTAAGTGGCTCAATCACATTTTATTTGTATTTTATAAGCAAAATCTGAAATAATAATACTTGAAATCTGGAAAATACTAGTTCATTAATTAAATATATTCTATGTCAACTAGAGTATTAAATGTTCCAAAATAAAACTCTTCGAATATTGGATCATAAAAATAAGAAACTGAGTACAAAGCTGTTTCTGTTATACCAACAGCCACAAAAGTATCACATATATAATACCTCATATTAAAGCAACCCATTATTAATATCTTACTTTTGTATCTGTTTTTGATAAAATAAAATTTTATTAATCTAATCCTTATTGGTATAGAAATGTAGAATATTCATCCTAATTTTCCTTTGCTGATCCTTGAATTTCCTTATAAAATTAATAGTTATCGTCTGTGAGTTCTGCTGACTTTCACAATACCTTCATATTTCCTATCTAAAATTAGTTTGATTTAAATTTGAATACTGTAATTAGTTTAATTTTCTTTTATTTCTTTCTAATAAATATTTAATACACTTTCAATTATTTAAAATATTTGATTTTACTTTTACATTACAATCTATATTTCAATTTATATCAAAAATGTTCATTTGCTTTTTTAGATTATCTTAGGTAAATATTGATAAAGAACAATTAAGTTCTTATATAAACTAATATTTTCATTATTAAAATGTTCTTAAACAAAGGGAATGATTTTTTAAAGCAAATTAATCAACTGGAAAATCTTAGAATAACAATTTCTTAATAAGATCATAATAAACTTAATAAAATTCCCCTTATTAGCAATTTTAGGATCTAAATATTTTAACAGTATATTTGTTATAATAAAAAATTAAATATATCAATATTATGATAAGGTTGGAATATTGTTTGAACTTCTTCAATTTAAAATCCATTAGAATCAAAATATTCTTTCAATAATAGGATAAATTGTTAAAAAATTATTAAAAGTTTTTTAAGTAATTAATAATGTTTTTAGATATTTTTAATAATTTTTTAGAATATAAAATAAATACTATGGTTTTAATTTATCTTCTA